ACACGCAGCCCCACACACGTGTGTACACCAGGGCACAGCACACGCAGCCCTCACACACGTGTGTACACCAGGGACCAGCACACGCACCCCACACACGTGTGTACACCAGGGACCAGCACACGCAGTCCTCACACACACGTGTACACCAGGGTGCAGCACACGCAGCCCCCACACACGTGTGTACACCAGGGCACAGCACACGCAGCCCCCACACGTGTACACCAGGGACCAGCACACGCAGCCCCCACACACGTGTGTACACCAGGGACCAGCACACGCAGTCCTCACACACACGTGTACACCAGGGTGCAGCACACGCAGCCCTCACACACGTGTGTACACCAGGGCGCAGCACACGCAGCCCTCACACACGTGTGTACACCAGGGACCAGCACACGCAGCCCTCACACACGTGTGTACACCAGGGACCAGCACACGCAGCCCCCACACACGTGTGTACACCAGGGACAAGCACACGCACCCCACACACGTGTGTACACCAGGGACCAGCACATGCACCCCCCACACGTGTACACCAGGGTGCAGCACACGCAGCCCCCACACACGTGTGTACACCAGGGCGCAGCACACGCAGCCCCCACACACGTGTGTACACCAGGGTGCAGCACACGCAGCCCCCACACACGTGTGTACACCAGGGCGCAGCACACGCACCCTCACACACGTGTGTACACCAGGGTGCAGCACATGCACCCTCACACACGTGTGTACACCAGGGCACAGCACACGCAGCCCCCACACACGTGTGTACATCAGGGACCAGCACACGCAGCCCTCACACACGTGTGTACACCAGGGTGCAGCACACGCAGCCCCCACACACACGTGTACACCAGGGACCAGCACACGCAGCCCTCACACACGTGTGTACACCAGGGACCAGCACACGCAGCCCCACACACGTGTGTACACCAGGGCACAGCACACGCAGCCCTCACACACGTGTGTACACCAGGGACCAGCACACGCAGTCCTCACACACACGTGTACACCAGGGTGCAGCACACGCAGCCCCCACACACGTGTGTACACCAGGGCTCAGCACACGCAGCCCCCACACGTGTACACCAGGGACCAGCACACGCAGCCCCCACACACGTGTGTACACCAGGGACCAGCACACGCACCCACACACACGTGTGTACACCAGGGACCAGCACACGCAGCCCTCACACACGTGTGTACACCAGGGACCAGCACACGCAGTCCTCACACACGTGTGTACACCAGGGACCAGCACACGCAGCCCTCACACACGTGTACACCAGGGACCAGCACACGCACCCCCCACACGTGTGTACACCAGGGCGCAGCACACGCAGTCCTCACACACGTGTGTACACCAGGGTGCAGCACACGCAGCCCTCACACACGTGTGTACACCAGGGTGCAGCACACGCAGCCCCCACACACATGTGTACACCAGGGCACAGCACACGCACCCACACACAGAGTTACTCTATGCAAACTCTATGCGTTCCCTTACTCTCCTAAATGGGCACTGATCTGCAAACGGGGCTGTGACTGCCCCTCACACGGCTGAGACATGCTTATCCACGCCAGCCCAGCCAGCAAGACAGCCCCAGCACAGTGTGCCCACGCCTCGCTGTCCGTGTGCCAGCTGGCCCTGCAGCCACCTCCCTAGCACCCGCCTTCGGGGGGCAGGCCGTCTTTGGCCTTCCCTGTTGCTCTGTGTACGTGCTGGGCAGTGCTGGCCTCCTGCTGGCCCTGCACAGCCCTTGGCATGCCCTGAGTGTCAGGCACCAGGAGCCTACTGCCTCCCCGCGTGCCCACCCATCCTCACCCCTCTGCCACGTGCCCACCCTCAGCCCAGCTGCCTGTCCCTGCCGAGGCCGCGGACCAACACCCCAGAGCAGGCAGGGAGGGGCCTAAGCCTGTTGTGCTTGAGGCCTCGGCTGCGGGACAGACCTGCGTGGTGGCCGGGCCTGGCTCCTGCTCGCCCGAGACCAGCTCGGGGCTGCCCCTTGAGCTCACCAGCTCTGCCGGTGGCTGGTTGCCATGGAGAGAGACTCCCCCCGGTTTGGCTTTCCTCCCCAGGCACGTGGGCCAGCTTCACCCTATCAGGAATTTTCCAAACAAGAATGATCATGGCAGCTGATGACTGGGGGACGCGAGCTGGAGACGGGCAGCTGTGGGGGCAGCAGCTCCAGGCAGCCTTGATGCCCACACTGCGTCCAAGGACATGGAGCAGCGAGGGGCAAGGGCCTTATTCCCCCCGCGGGCACCGGGTGACCCCGGGTGCCGACAGGGCCACGCCCCACCAGAGTCCCACCCCACCAGCGCCCTGCCCACATTTCAGAGCCACGCCCACTCCTCAGAATCCTGTCCGCAGCCCAGGACAGCGCTGCAGGCCCAGTCTGAACCCCAGAGTCACTGCTCAGGGCAGAGTCTGGCACAGCAGTTGGGAAGGCCGCAGCTAAGACAGCCTGGGCCACCGCGCCTACACGAAAGCCCTGGATTTAAAGCTGACCTAGCCCCCGTCACGACCCCAGTTCTCATTTTAAAGTATAGGCGCATCGTGGCGCAGTGCGTGGTTTCCACCTGAGACACGGACATCCCACGCGGGCGCCGGTGTCTGCCCCAGCTGCTCCACTCCCCATCCAGCTCCCTGCTACAGGTCAGGGAAGCAGCACCAGATGGACCGAGTGCTTGGGTCCCTGCACCCACAGGGGACACCTGGAGGAGGCCACGTGGGAGCGGACAGGAAAAGGAGATCTCTCTCTGCAGCTCTGCCTTTCAAATAAATTTAAAAATATATTTCTTTAATTAAAAATGAAATCTTAAAGCTGGACAGAAGCAGCAGACAGACCCTGGGGACAGAGGGACATTTAGAGATGTGACCTGAGCTTCCTGCTGTGACAGGGACACAGGCAAGTCAAGAGGACGCACACCTGTCCCAGGGGCTCAGAGACGGGCTTGGCGCCTGGCAGCCCCGGGCCCCGCCGTCCCTCCAGGTCAGCCCCGGGCCTCCCGTCCCTCCAGGTCAGCCCTGGGCCCCGCCATCCCTCCAGGTCAGCCCCGGGCCCCTCCGTCCCTCCAGGTCAGCCCCGGGCCTCCCGTCCCTCCAGGTCAGCCCCGGGCCCCGCCGTCCCTCCAGGTCAGCCAGGGGCCACACAGCAGGGCAGAAGCAAGCCCTCCAGGCCAGGAGCTCTGCTGTCAGCTAGGCTGTGGGCAGGGCCCCACTCCTGCCCAGAGGAGGCTGTGTCCAGCCCTTCCAGCCCCTGGTGGCATCAGGCTCCAGGAAGCATCCCCCACCCCCGTCTGTATGCCCCGTCCCAAGGAGGGACACACGGCTTGGAGTCAGGGCCTCCGCACCAGGAAATGCGGCACCCAGCCCGCGAGGTGCGGTGTCACTCAGTTCTCTGCCTTCTGCCTAGCGACCTGTTGATGTGAGCAGCAGAGCGGCAGGGAGGAGTCCGCTTCCATCTGCTGGTCCGCTCCCTGGGTGCCCACAGCACCGCCTGTACGGAAAGCCGAGCTAGACCCGTGACACCAGAGGAAGACGGCGGGGGACGCCTTAACCCAGCCTCTGCCCGCACTGCACAAAGCCACGTGGCCCCTACGGGACCCGTCCCCAGGAACCAGCTCTCTCAGGCTCCAAGGGGCCGCCCCGTTCCCAGGCGTGTCCCCACCCTGGTGTCACGCTGCCTGCCTTCCTGGGGAGATCCGGCCTGTGGGTCCCCAGAGGCCAGGCCAAGGGACCACAAGTGCTAGTGAGGGAAGGGTGGGGCATGCGTAGGCCATGTGGCTGGACCTCGTTGTCTGCAAGGCTGGCCACCAGGTCCTGGTGGCACTGTGGCCCCAGATCAGGTGGAGACAGATGCAGGTACACCCAAGCAGCAGCAATGGGGTGGTGACTATACTATTAGTCTTTGCTGGGCAATTCACAGGAGCGGTTCTGGCCAGGACACTGCAGTTTGAGCCAATGAGGAGCCAGGCTAGACTCCAGGAGAGGGAGGGCAGGTGAGGCAGTGGCACCTAGCTGGGTGTGACGAGGCGCAGAGCCGAGTGGGGCCGGGCAAGGGGTGACTGGCCCCTGTAGACCCCTGCGGAAGCAGCCCAGCAGGTGTAGGCCTGCTCGGAGTCAGGGGCCTTCCTGGAGTATCTCCCACAGCCTGGACCAGAGCAGGGTGGGGGGAGGTGGATGGTGGGCACGGGGCGGGGCAGCCAGGGCACCTGCTGGAAGTTCAGCCGGACTGCAGGGCTGGCCAGGGTGGGGACAGCAGGACAACTGAGGGCTGAGCAGTCTTGAGGGCAATTGAGGGGCAGTGGCCTCTGGGGTGTCGGGGGCACACCGTTCCAGCCAGCCGCCAGAGGGCGGCGTCCCGCCCTGGGCACTGCCCTGAGCTGTGGATGGCCACCACACCCCAACGAGGAGCTGAGGCCACGGACCGAGGGTTGGGGACCCAGAGCTAGGCCCAGCAGGAGCTAGGCTGGGCTTCTGCTCCCGGCCCCGCCACTGACAGACAAATGAAGCGGCTGGTCTGAGCCTGGGGACCACTCCGGGCTCTCCCAGCCAGCGCCCCTCCAGATCACAGGAGACACAGGACCCAATCCGGACAGCCTTGTCACACAGCCAGGGTGTAAGAGGGACTGCGCTGGGGGACAGGCGCCAGCCTGCAGCGGTGGGTAGCCAGGGGCTGGCCACACGAGAGCCAGGGTGGGTGGGTGAGGGCTGAGGCCTGGACACCCATACCCACCTCCAGCAGCCCGCGCAGGGTGGGGCGTCCAGGTGGACAGGACCACAGGGCTGGCCGCAGTGACGTGCTCTTCCCCTGTGGCCCCAGAGGTCCTGGAGGGAAGCGGCGGCGTCCCCCGCCTGGCGCCCGCAGCTGGGGACGGTGCTGGGGCCATTGTTCCTTGCTGCAGCCGGTGGGGGCGTGGGAAGCCCTGGACGGTGCCCTCTGGCCCACTTGCTGACCCAGCACCTCAAGCCAGCCACTCGCACGTCCAGCAGCATGAAGGCGCTGGGGGTCGTGGTGCTGGCCCTGCTGCTGTGCCGGCAGCCAGGTGCGGGTGGTGGGGGTCGGGGATTTCCAGGGACCCCAGGCTCAGAGCGGGAATCGGGGAGGAGAGGGGAGGGGTCTGTTTTGTGTCCAGACCTTGGTGGCCTGCTCTGTGCCTCTGGCGGGCAGGGCAGATGGCAGGGGCTGTGCGAGGGGACCGCCCAGAGCAGCTGCTGTGGGTGGCGAGCACAGCAAACCGCACCGGGCTGCAGGTGAGGAGGGCAGGGCTGAGTCGGGCTGGGGACACGGGCTTCACAGCTGTCCTGCCTGGCCAGGGAGAGGGTGGGCGCAGGAGGACAAGGACGATGACGACGTGGGGCTGGACGGCTACGATGATGAAGAGGAGGAGGAGGAGGAGGCCGGCGCTGGCCCTGGCAGCAGGGACGGAGGTACCCACCCTCGCCAACGCCCTCACTCTGACCTTGACTCTCAGCCGCCACTCGGGGAGGGAGGGGCAGTGGTGCCAGGAGCACAGGGTCCCTGGGGAGGGTGGGCTGGGGTCCTGGGGCGAGAGTCGGGGCGGCCCCTCCCCAGGACACCGCAGGGCCTTGGCCCGAGCCCCTCTCCTGCCCGCAGCACGGCTCCAGTGCTACAGCTGCCAGTCCTTACAGCGGGAGGAACGCTGCAGCCACACGCAGAGCTGCGCCCACAGCCAGCACTACTGTACCACCTTCATCACCCACGGCAACACCGGTGAGCCCTGCCCCTGGCCACCCAGCCCTGCCCCAGCCCTGCCCTGCCCTGTCCTGTCCTGCCCTTGGCCCACCCAGCCCTGCCCCTGACCACCCAGCCCTGCCCTGCCCTGTCCTGCCCTTGGCCCACCCAGCCCTGCCCCTGGCCACCCAGCCCTGCCCTGCCCTGTCCTGCCCTGCCCTTGGCCCACCCAGCCCTGCCCCTGGCCACCCAGCCCTGCCCTGTCCTGTCCTGCCCTTGGCCCACCCAGCCCTGCCCTGTCCTGTCCTGCCCTTGGCCCACCCAGCCCTGCCCTGCCCTGTCCTGCCCTTGGCCCACCCAGCCCTGCCCCTGGCCCTGCCCTGCCCCCTGCCCCACCCAGCCCTGCCCCCTGCCCCAGCCCTGCCCTGCCCTTGGCCCACCCAGCCCTGCCCCACCCCAGCCCTACCCACCCCACTCCAGCCCTGCCCCTGGCCCCCTGCACACCTGGGAGCTGCCCACCATGACCTCAGCAGCCCCTCTGCTCCCTTGCCCAGGGTCAGGGCTCCTGACCACCTACTCCACGTGGTGCACAGACACCTGCCAGCCCATCAGCAGGACGGTGCAAGGGACCCAGCTGACCGTGACCTGCTGCCAGTCGATGCTGTGCAATGTCCCGCCCTGGCACAGGCCAGGGTCACAGGACCCACCGGGCAGCAGGGCAGCAGGCCCCCTGAGCAGCCTGGCACACGTGCTGGTCCCAGCCCTGCTGCTCAGCCTCTTTGGCAGCCTTTGAGCAAAGCGCCCTGTAAACCTGGCCAGCCCTGCCCTCCCCCCATGGCCCCAGGCCCCTGGTCCCTCTGGAGAATAAACGGTCTTGGCTTCTCACCCCACCCGTCTGCTCTGTGTGTCTAGGGACCTTCAGCCCCAGGGGGACCCCAGCCAGTCCACCAGGGAGGCCACAGTGGGTACTGCGGGCCATGGACAGCAGGGGAAGGGGCCTGGCAGCAGCACCCCCCAGCAGGTCCTCGCTGCCCAGGGATGCCACCTCCCTCTCCTCCCCCTTGCCCCTTCCAGTGGCCACCTTGAGCCGGGAGGTGACATCCCCATGGCAGCCTCCCACTCCCAGATGGAAGCTACACCGCTGCCTGGAAGGCCCCTCCGCCACCAGCTGGACACACATGCGTGCGCATAGGCACCCACCTCACACACTGACACACAGATGAAGGGCCAACCCCGCACTGGCCCGACTCTGGCACCTCCTCCTAGCAGTCCAGTGCCCAGTGGGACCCCCTGGGTGCCCTGGAGAGCTGCTGTCCCAGGACGCTGCCCGCATGCCACCTGCACGCCCACGTGCGGCAGATCTTAAAGAACGCAGCCCCGTCACCGGCCACATCAGCCCGCGTTCGCAGGAGCTGGGGTCCCCGCAACGCCTGCACATCCTCTAGGCTCTCGCGTTCTCAGAAGCTGGGAGGCTGCCAGTCTGCCCGGCAGGCGACCCCAGGGCTCTGGGCAGGAGGGGCACCCAGCTGGACACTGCCGGCGCCCTCCTGGTTGCTGCAACTCAGAGCCTCAGCACAGCCGTGACCAACCCAGCCCAGCTCTGCCCCGGGGCAGCACAGAGGGCAGAGGTGCCAGGAGGGTGAGAGGGGCCAGTGTGGAGGGCAGCCAGGACTCCAGGGGCCTCCTCTCAGGCCCAGAGTGGACACCAGCCACAGGGTGAGGCGGCAGTTACGAGCGGAGGGCACGGGAAGGAGACCAGGGCCTGCCACACAGTCCCCCGGGATGCAGCAGCTCCCGCCCCACAGGCCCTGGCCACCACGCCATGCCTGCAGCTGCCAGGCGAATGGGGGTGTGAGGAGGCCAAGGCCAAGGCCAGGGACCGCGTGCAGGGCTGGGTATCCGTTGCAAAGAAAAGCAGACAGGCCCTCCCTGCTCCCAGAACTGAAACAGCTCCAACACGCCTGTCTCGGGCGGAGAGAAAGCGGCTTGCAGAAGGGGGCGTGAAGAGGCTCCTGGGCGGGGCACCCCCTCTTGTGCTGCAGGGACCCCTGGGCCCGGCCCCTGGGGAAACGCTGCCTCCCCCAGGATGAGGGGGACCAGCCCCCCAGAATCCTTGCCTGACCTTGCTGGTAGTGCCCAAAGCAGAGCCCCGTCTGAGGGCACCGAGGGCACCGGCCTGGGCCACTGCTCAGCTAGGAGATGCGCCCATCTCCGGGGGGAGAGGTGAGGTGGCGTGGTCACCACGCTGGCCTAGAGTGCAGCCCGTCACCGGGCCCGCCGCACCTGCAGGAGGGCCCCGCCATGTCTCCCCAACCTGGCCAAGGTCCACCGAGCGCCCCGGGAGCCCAGGGTCCCGGAAGGGGCGAGGGGCTGTGGCCGTGCAGGGTCCTGCCGGCCTGCGGACACGTCCAGCTGACAGGGTTCAAGCCCCCTTCGTGGGCCCGGGCCGCTACAGACGCTCAGCTCCGCACCTCTCCCGGGCCATCCGCGTTCCCCAGGGATGAACGCGCACCTACGGCCCCGCCAACCCCGGAACCGCGGGCCGTGGACCGGAGGACGGCGAGGACAGCCCGTTCCCAGCCCTCGGTGCGGCTCCAGGGAGTCTGGGCGGCCCTGCCCGGGGGCAGCGCTCTCCGTGGGAAGGCCCAGCTCCACGGGAAGCAGGTGTCCGCAGCCTCCCGCTCCCGGTTCCGGACCCGCGCAGGCCCGGCGCCAGCAGGAAATCCCTGAGGAAGGAGGTTCGGCCCCGGGCCAGGAGCGACCCGCGCGGGGCTGCCTGAGGCGAGGCAGGGGCAGCGCCCGGCCCGGGGCCAAGCAGGCTTCCCGCGGCGCCCAGGGGCGGGACGAGCGGCACCGGCAGCGGACGGCGTCCACAGGAGCACCCGTCCACGCCGCGGCCGCAGCGCCACCGAGAGGCCGGAACGTGCGGCTAGAGCGGCCCGGAGGGGGCGTGGCGCGGAGGCCCGGTGGGCGTGGCTTATCGGGGCCGACCACTGAGAT